CCTAGTCACTGTGCCACCGAAGCACTGACAAACTTTGGATGATATAAGTGATAAATTATCTTGTAGTCCAATGTCAGTGTCCAGGTCTAACTACACTGGACTTAACAGTGTCCTTAGAAGACTTTCAGCAACAATGTGTAATAACCAACGCGAAAAGCCAAAACAGATTGGTGACTCAAGAATCCTTTATTCTTGCACCAGTATGGAAGCAACCATAGGGTTATTGTACACAAAGTCTAAGGATAAATTTCATAACAATTTATCACAATAATAATTCCAATGGAAGGATGACGGCAGCATCGATGACTTCCGCCAAAATATTGTAGCGGTAAATAATTCCCCAAAATTATTGACCACAGCAATCACTCATTGGATGCTGACCACCACTGTTTAAGTCGACTTGTTTAGCTGAAGGCTTCCGGTCAAGCATCCCCGCCATTTGGTACCTCGTCGTGTCACGTGCACGATCACTAGCTAGCTAAGCGTTCGTCTAACGGCTGGTTTTGGTTACTAAATATATATCTTGGTTTGGACGATCAATTGTTGGCTTTTGCTTTGTCTTTGGTACGCGAGAATAAATTAATTAGAAGTTGTTGAACGAGATATCACGTCAAACCTTTAATATCCATCAACCTTTAAACTGGTGAGCCCAACCGCGAACTTCATCCACGAAAAATCCGCAGATAACCCCGGTGAGTTCGTTCCATTTTGTATTTGTTCTTGTACCATATATTATTCGATATAATTTTCGTCATGAGTGATCTTAGTCCCAAGGTCATCCGTATCCGCTCAACTCCTAAAACCATTCAGCTCGTACCATACTGGCCAGATAATGCTGAAACGTGGTTTCTGCTAGCTGAAGCAGATTTTTGTGAGCATGGGATAACTGATCAACGTTCACAGTTACTTGCAGTTATTCACGCCCTACCGCGGGAATTCAGCAAGTACGTAACATCACAGATGTTGAGTCCCGAGGTAAGTAACTCGTACGAGTTGCTGAAAGCATCCCTCCTCAGGAGAAACGCTCTCACGGACAGACAACGTCTAGATGAATTATTTCGCAACATCGAGTTAGGAGATCAGTCAGCCGTGAGCATGCTGACAAGAATGAAACAAGTCGTCGGCCAAAGTCAGTTCGACGAAGGACTGTTTAGAGAACTCTTCTTAACCAAGTTGCCACAATCTGTACAGACCGTACTTGTGACACTTGAGGGTACTGTAATAGAGAACTTAGCTATTACTGCAGATAAGATTCTAGAAATAACTAAACGGTCTGTTCCCGAAATATGCTCAATGACTAAGCAGACTTCGAGTGAGGATCCTGCAATGATAGAGTTATGCAACTCCCTTCAGCAGATGTTTAGGTCAAACATGCATTCTAAATCCTCCGACCGTCGTCCTAAATCTCCTCAACGCAGGAACTCACGTGGTCGATCTAAGTCCAAACCACGTTCACTGAAAAACCCTGACTGGTGCTGGTACCACAACACCTATGGCCAAGAAGCGAAGTGTTGCCGTAAGCCTTGTAACTTCGGAAATGTCTCAAAGTCTGCGGGAAACTATCCCGCCGGCACGCGTTAGCGGCAACCGTCGCCGGTGGCACTAGCCGCCTACTTTACATCCATGATGTGATAAGCCAGACTCGATACTTAGTCGACACAGGCGCCGAAGTCAGCGTCCTTCCTGCTACAGCAGCAGATCGACAGAAGGAACCTACCTTCAACTTACAGGCTGCAAATGGAAAACCAATCGCAACCTTTGGTAGGAAATACGTCTATCTGAACGTAGGTTTACGCAAACCTATTCGGTGGATTTTCCTTCTCGCTGACGTTACAATGCCCATCATTGGCACGGACCTACTTAATCATCATGATTTACTCGTAGACGTCCGCCGAAAACGACTGATTGACAATACTACTAGTCTGTCTATCAAAGGCATCACCTACATAGGCCCCATCTAGTCACCCGTTAAGATAAAGGCAATCCTTGATCCAACTTTTCAACCTATTGTTGACAAGTATCCGGAACTTAATTGCCCGTCGAACGACCTACCGTGCATAACCAGCAATGTTATGCACCACATCATTACCACAGGACAACCTGTGACATCTAAAGCACGACGATTAGCTCCTGACAAACTGAGAATCGCCAGGAATGAATTTGACCATATGCTTAGCCTTGGCATCATTCGACCTTCGAATAGCCCATGGGCATCCCCACTTCATATGGTTCCGAAAAAGGATAGCAACGATTGGCGACCCACCGGTGATTACCGGCGAGTGAATGCCAAAACAACCCCTGATTGCTACCCGTTGCCTCATATACACGACTTGACGGCAACCTTATCCGGCGCGACTATATTCTCCAAAATCGACTTGGTTAAAGCGTATAACCAAATCCCGATGGCAACAGAAGATATCCCGAAAACGGCTATCATTACGCCTTTCGGACTTTTTGAATTTCTACGTATGCCATTCGGTCTTCGGAATGCAGCCCAAACATTCCAACGCTTCATCGACGAAGTATTTCGCGGTCTCGACTTTGTATACGCATACTTAGACGACTGCCTCATTGCCAGTCCAGACAAGGAAACTCACCTTAGGCACTTGGACTTGGCATTTGACAGGTTACGCCAACATGGTGTTACCATTAATATTCAAAAATGTCAAATCGGTGTTGACTCACTCGACTTCCTGGGTCACACTATTGACTGCAAGGGCATTCGCCCACTGGCTACTAAGGTTGAGCCTCCTAAGAAAAACCGTTCTGGACGCACCGTAAGGTTCCCAGAACATTTGCACACTTATTTGACTTAACGAAGTCGTGTGATTCACGCAACTCACTCGTTCGTGGTACTAACTATTTTTTTTGACGTATAAATTTTTTTTATATACAGTACCACCGAACACAAAAAAATTTTTTTTTCAACAGTTCATGTAACATACACAAAAAAATTAATTAGATGTATTTTTTTTCGATGTTCTGAACTTAGCATTATTTTACTGTATAGTAAATGCACACAATTTTTTTTAACCAAAAAGGTCATTTCGTACATTTTCCTCGACATGGTTCTTAGCGTTCTTGTTTTCTTTTCCAGGTGCGACGGGCACTGGAGAGGAAACAAACGAAGCACGGAATCCAACGAACAACACCAGGAAGCTATGTACAAACACCCTATTAGCATAGGCAGACAAACCAGTAGGCATACCACCAAGCCGCTCGGAAGATTTTTTTCACCCGAAAGGGAACCATCGAGTTTTTTTACTTCCGGCTGGTTCTGTCTTAGGGTCCTCACGACCCCACTAGGGGGGAGTGAGCTGTAGCGGTAAATAATTCCCCAAAATTATTGACCACAGCAATCACTCATTGGATGCTGACCACCACTGTTTAAGTCGACTTGTTTAGCTGAAGGCTTCCGGTCAAGCATCCCCGCCATTTGGTACCTCGTCGTGTCACGTGCACGATCACTAGCTAGCTAAGCGTTCGTCTAACGGCTGGTTTTGGTTACTAAATATATATCTTGGTTTGGACGATCAATTGTTGGCTTTTGCTTTGTCTTTGGTACGCGAGAATAAATTAATTAGAAGTTGTTGAACGAGATATCACGTCAAACCTTTAATATCCGTCAACCTTTAAAATATTGAGTTGGTTTTGAGTAAACAACCATGAATCGATCGTTTATTCTTCAACTACATCGACATCCCCTGTCTCCAGATATATAGCAAATCTATTTCTCATCAAACGTATGACTTCTAAGTTCTGAAGCTTGGAGCACTAAGAACGAAACTGTGAATTCTTCATGCTAACGTCTCTACGACTTTACAACCGTCGAAAATGGGACCGTTAGCCCATCAGAACTTGCACCACACGGTTAAGTCAATTGTGAAAATTCCCGAAAAGCACAAGGTTCGGGGTTTGGTAAGCAGTACACATTCACCTTTTAGTTTCTGTCTGGGAAAATGCCACTTCTTTACGGAATTTAGGAATCCAAATGTCCAAAAAACCTTGAAACAATGTAGATAATATACCAGTGTTTGAGACATACCAGACATTTTGATACTAACGATGAATGGTCGAAATTCCGGCAAAGGTATACGTGCAAATGGATTATAGTCAAATGCCTTCATATTCTTTTGGTGCTGCATCCTATTACCTAACTTAGATTTAAACTGGGCTCAAACTTCACTGTCGTTTATCTCCAAGTATTGTTCTGTAGGCAGCTACTTTGCCTGTAATTTCCACTTCATCCACTATGAAAACTGCCTAGCGATTCCTTCTCAAACTGAACGTGAAAAATGTAATAGGTTAACCTCCTTTTCCTCACTCTTCAGCCATTGCATAATCATTTTCGCGAAAGAAATAGCAGTTTGGTTATGGTGGCTATGATGGGCTTAAGCTCCTAATAAACTGTTCGACGTAACCTCACCAGTTCATAATATCATGATACTGGGATTTCCGTTATTTGGGCCCTAAGCCATAACTTAATTGCTAGACCCTCGCATGCTCCATAAAAATTTGGCAATAACCACTGATGGCATCAACGAACTGTATCCATATGCAGTAACTGAAATACCACCGTAACCGTATGAATCACATGTAGCCATCAAAACGCAACGCACTATAAAGGCTGGCGGTCTTGTTAGCAGTATAATTTATCGTTTCACCTTGGCAATGAATTCACTGCTTATCCAATAAATCTGTCTTTGTCCATCCCAAAACTTCCTCTATATAGTCCTGAAGTAGTTATCTTTTAAATTGCTAGTTTGGTTGATATTCCCTTTTTAAGCATTCACTATTAGATTCCGCTTTCCTGTTTATTCCTATCTATGCCTGACCAGAAGTCTTCAGCTAAACAAGTCGACTTAAATAGTGAGAGTGAGCATCCAATATTCAGTGATGAGTGCTGTGGTCAATAATTTTGGGATATTATTTACCGCTACAGCAGTCTTCTTGATTTACCAATGGATGCACCTCGAAAGGTAACAATCTAAAGTGAAGGACACAAATAATTAACCCCATCATTTCCTTAGCTAATATTATGGTAGTAGAAAATGTTAAGCTTATTAATCACATAAGATTTATTTTATTAGGTACGCTTTCTGTCTTGATGATGTACAATTATTTGGAAGTGCACCTTCCACATATATCAAACTGAATTTACGGTATATTACTATCATACCACCTAGGCTTTTTCCCATTTTCTGGAAAACTTTTTATCCTGATACAAAAACCTTTGGATGTAAACTTAGATTGTGGATTGAACTTTGAGCTTATTAGCGTTTTAGTAAGCTAAACCACACAATTTTGCTTGTTGCAGTTACAAAAGTTCACGGAGTTTCTGCTTATGCACATGGTTTGGAATCAGTATGGGCAAAGGATTAGCAAGCTTTTGAGTACCATTATCAATGTGAACTCGAGAAATACGGTGATATTTGCTTCATTTGGATCAGTATTGTCAGGAGTGTTTTATTTCGCTGTGAATGACTGCAAACATGTATATATGAAGGTACCAATATAATAAAGATGGGAAGATACTCTTAACTAGAGTTCAAGTACTGATGTTCGCCGTCTTTCTCTAGAAGAGAAGTTTCGCACGTTCGCTTCCTTAGAGTTTCATGGCGTAATACTCATGACACCCTCTGACTTCTTACGCTCTTTGGTTAATGATCAGACAGATGGTAATTTTATTTTTTGAACTGTAAAATACCTTCAGTGAAGACCAATGTTACCAAAGATTCCGAATTTGTCGATAGAATAATGAAGAAAGCGACAGCGAAGAAATATGGATCTCGATTTTTCCGAAATTTGCAGAATGATGGCATAATAACATTTTCGGAGTATTTGTTTCTGCTTCATATCCTCACAAGTTTGATATCTAGTTGTACTGAATTATTATTTCAGAGTCTCCGTCGGGGTTTGAAATAGCATTTAAAATGCTTGACAGAGATATGAGTGGTTCCGTTGATGCAAAAGAATTCATGACTGTCAGTAATTAGTCATTTTATTATCCAGTTTGTTTCAGCTGAATCATATAATTGCAGAAAGCACAGAAGACATATCAGTTGGTGAAAATGAAAAGTGTGATCTTGTACGTAATGAATAAATTTACTTAATTCACATCACAGGTACTTCCGAATGAGCACGCCTACAACACTACCCTTATGACTCACCTTTTTGGATATACTAAAACTAAAAACCTCAGTTTCCAGGAATTCGAAAGGTATGTTTCCATTTTGCTAGTGGATTCCATAGATTCATGCAAAATGTGCAAACGGAAGCCTTAGAAGTTGAGTTTCAACAGTTTGCACTAGGTTCGTCTACAATCACTCCAACGGATTTTGCTCGAATTTTACTCCGTTATACTACTGTTTCTGCTACTGAGTATGATGCTTTTATAACACGACTCCAAAAGCGTGTTCCTTCGAATATGGTTAGTGCTGTTTATTTTAACTAAAGTTTTCCTTCAGACAATTTCCTTCAACGAATTTCAAAAATTTTTCATGTTTTTGAATTGTCTGGATGATTTTGCATTAGCGGTGAAGATGTATACTATTGCTGGACAACCAATATCACTACGTATGTTATCAGTTTCCCATTGCATCTGTGTGAAATTGTGTATTCGCATTTTAGTTTTATTTAGTTTTTTTGAAAATGCTGACGACACATGACTTAACTGTTAAATTTCCCTGATCAAAGGATGGCTGCATGACGTTTTCAATTGATGCATGAATAGGTCTAAGAGTTTGTCATCTCCACTTGAAAATTTTATATGCAATAGCTATCGGTTATTGGCACTACTTTTGTATTCGGAAAACTGGTGGTCTCTTTGTTTTATCTCGGGATTCCATATGTTTGGTAAAAGTAAGATTTTTAGATGTTTTTGATATAGGTGACCTATTTAGCTCGCTTTGTTCCAAGTGAAGAAAGGAAAATGTCAAAAAATCAATCAAAATTAGTCTGTCAAAATAATAATTGTCATAGGCAAATGATGCTTAAATAAGAGTAAACGAGTTTTATGCAGTTTTCGGGCTCCTTTGCTATACTGGTCTATAGGTTAATATATACTGTATATTATTTTTTTGTTAAGGTCTAGAAAGTCTGTTGGTGCTTAAAAAATTTTCTGAGGATTCTTGGCATACCTTGATGCACTGTTAGATGTGAGATGTTACTGCTTCAATGCTAAGCACTGACTCTTATTCTAGTAATATGTAGTGAAGTGACTAAACGTGTTTAATTGGGAAGTTTCATTGGCTCTGAAGTGTCAGCAAGGATACCCATACCGATACAACACTTGTAACCTCATTTTATATTTGGTGTAGTTGCGGTGTCCATCTATCCATCAAGAGAATTGTGTACTGCGTTTTGTTTCTATCCGTTCTTCTCTACGGCTGCAAAAGTCCGATGAAGGTGAGACATACAAAACTATCTACAGCTTTTTACTACATGTGTCTCTGTTTATTATTCCATGTCGGCTGTAACAATTTTTTCACATGAAATCAAAGGTAATGTGATAGGGCATAAGAGGAAGTTGCTCGGTGAACTTGTGAAGCTCCCCTCAACTATGGTAGTATGGAAATGTGTTACCAATGCTGAGCCACTGGCTTCTTCAGGGACCAATACTAACCAAAATAAAACTTCACCACGGTAGAGATAGAAGTGTTCAGAGTAAAAAGTGGCGAAAATTCATAAAGACTTTGAATGTTCTTTTTGACCTCCTAGGAGAGGGTAGGCCAACTGGTTGTGATTTTCGAAATGCTAAGAATCAAAGGTTTTGGACTGCTGGTAAAATGACTAACAGTCGCTCCCACTGACGCAGACCCATTCACTTCTTACTTTTCCGGGATTCTAAAAACATTTTCTAGTCTTTATTTAATTGTTCTATCTTCCTATGGCATTGTCTTTTTCAGTTTCACTTAGTCATTTTCCCTACCACTGACGTATTCTTCACCAAGTTGTGGAGTCTTGAACTAGTTCAATTTTTTGAGAACTCTTGCATCGATAAATGGCTCGGCCAGTTTATTCAAACATCATAACATCAATTTATATTCGCTAAAACACTCTAGGCTTAACTGACACATTATTATGTAACGATAGGCTAATAAGTTTTAAATTTAATTTAAATTTATTCAAATTTCGGAATCTATCATTCAAATATGTATTATTGTTGTGTGAAGAAATATTTCTGTGTATTTTAAAAGACGACATGATCCATTTTACTGTGCCATTCATTTAATGCTGCTACATGGAATTATTTTCAGTGTTTAGCTACCTTTATTTTATTTACAAGGAAATGAAGTAAATCTTAATTACAATGAAAAATTGACGTTTCCTGTTTTGGAACTGAAACAAAATAATTTTTATTCATTTCGCTAGCTACTCATCATCTGTATATGCTATTGTTATTCACTTGAGTTCAGGCTGGAGGACAGGGATTCAGCAGTACATCTGCACTTTATCCTGTTTTCTGAGGTTCTCTTCAACTGGTTCCATGGTTGCCCATGAGCTCTCATGTCCTCAAACTACCCTCTCCATGTAAACCTCGAACACCCAACGCATCGTTTTACATTCGGGGACCCCTGAGGGTCTGACTTGTGATGTCAGTCAATGGTCTCCTCAGCGTGTATCCAATCGACCTCCATTTTCTTCAGGACACATTTGCTGAGCAGAGTCTCTTGTTGCTAATTCTTTCTAACTGGTCATTTGATCTTCGCTGTTGAGCAAGAGAAGTCAGCTGTTGATAAAAGTCTACAGCAGCCTGTTGGAAATGCTTTTCATGACACGCCAGCTGCTCATAGCCTAACGAAATTTTATGTTTATGTACGCGAGAACTTTAAAATACTTGCAAATATTATATAATGTCAATATGGAGTCTCTGAAAAAAACACAATTATTCTTCAGATGCTTTCAGAAGTAACTTTAGTACCATTTTGTCCTTTATTTTTATTAATATTTTCTAGCTGAATTCAAAAGAGCTGTCAAAGCTTGTACTGGTAATGAATTAGGCTCAGATATTTTAACTGTATTATTTGCTCTGTTCGATATTGATGAAGACAACTGTTTAAGTTACCAAGAGTTCATTCACATTATGCGAGAGCGACATTCTGGTGGATTATCGGTAAGTATTGTAAAATATTTATCATTTGCGCATTTCAAGCGGTTATAATACTTCAGCTGTGATAATCACTTTCCTATACTTTTAAGAATTAGATTCTAGGGATTTGATTCGTTTCGAATTTCCTTACGAGCTAACTTCAGTTAGAGAATGATTGGAAGACTGGCGAGTACTGGACAGATGTTTCATCCTAGTATGAGACTCTTCAGAAGCACGCAACCAGCGGGGCGTACCAGCGTACTCAGGATCTTCCGGTTACACAACAAGCTCGTTAGAGACTGCCCAAAGTTCTGGTCAGAAGCCTTGGCCAGCGGAGTCCATGACGTCCAGGGTGGGAACAAACACTCGTCGATGATACTGTCTGATGGTCACGCTGAAATCAGGAATTGATGAAAGCTAGGACTCACAGGCCACTGAGTTGGGCTAAAGTAGTTGATTGATTTACGGGCTTGTCATGTAACTGAAAGGCTCTGGGTTCAAACTCTGGTGGGTTCGTGCTTCTGAAGAGCCCCAAAATGGGAGGAAAGAGTTGTCCAGTACTCCCTAACTTTCAATTGCTCTCTAACTGCATATATTCTGGTCATCAGTAATTCTATGTAGCTTTGATCGTCAACTTTATTTTTGTCACGAGCCCATAATTTAAAGCATAGAGTGAACCAATTTTCGGAGTACCTGAAAAACATATGTAGCTACACAATTGAAGGCAATTAACAGGAAGCTTTGACCTTAGGTTTCGTGCTTTTTGACACTTGTGAGCACAGTGAGTGCACCTCCTGACGTTCGAAACCGTGGTCACCCAGTGGTGTAGTCAGAGATTTTACCACTGGGTTATTTGAGTTCAAGATTGAACCCCTGGACACTACTAACTATCTAGTGTCTAATCAAAGTATCCACTACAGTCTTACAGGGGTGTAGTCACAGGCCTAAATAGCTGTTCAGTTTCCATTATTCTTTCTTCGAGTCAGAGTTTCATAGGCGTTCAGTCGTAATCCATTCTTCTGCCTGAATAACATGGTTAGCTCTCCATTGATTTAATTTCATTTCATCAATGATCACTTCCATCACTGTTTTCAGAATAGGGTCTTATCTATAACTGCAAGTAAGTTTTAATGCATTTTGTTCCATATGTATTTTCAGATAAAACAACTTTATCTTGGGGTCTAGATAAACAAATAACCTACCATCAAAGTTTCATGAAGTCGCACTATAGGTGGCGGCACATCTACTGCTACAGTTTACTACGTCAGTCTCTCTCCATCTTTAATCGTCGTATAACGGTGGACTACATATTACAAAACGAAGGACAACATAATAATAATAATCTACTTTATTTCAAAAATAGTACTTATAATACAGAATGGAATTCTCAGTATTTGTCACAATATTGCATCTGATTTACTTAAAATATAAATAAAATTAAAAATTAAGACAAAAGTAACCAGAGGGATTTGTCCACATCCACCATATAAAGTCAAAAATATTCAAAGCACGAATTGAGGTCATTAAATATTATAGCAATAATAATAACAGTGAGTTTGTTTCAAACAGTATTGTCGATTGAGTTTGGAAATTTTAGCATTTCACTATAGAGTATTGTGTTTTGTTGATATAGTATAGTGAGGGGAAATACAAGATTAACAGTGGTGATACAGCTTAAACGATGTTTACACTTATGAAAAATAAATAAATAAAAACAAAAAAATTGAGAGGATTATAAATATAAGAAATACAATAACAATAAAGTTTGGTACTGTCAGGGTGAAGGTAATGGTTTATTTAGTAGTACGAAGAAGGTTAGTTCACGCCTGACACCATTTTCATCGCATAAAGTACATGCTAAATATAGCATAGTGGAATTTTTATACTTAGACTTACGTGCATAAATTCTTCTGAAAAGACTTCTTGTTTTATCTGAGGAGACACAAGGTTGGAGCTGCACGTCGAGTAGTCAAACACAGAAAAACGTCATAGTACATTTAGAATGAAAACAAATCACCGGTGCATTCACACGTACCATTTGACAAGTGAATGTGACATTCCATACTAGATGAGTTTGATTTGATATAACACACAATGATACAACATTAATAACTAGATGAATTTTTGAGTACAATTTATTACTGCTCATAATCATATCAATGACTCTTGTTATTGTTATTATTATTATAACCACTATTATTTATTTTACGTTTTAACTAGAAAACTGCCAAAAACAATAATATCATGCATATGTATCGAAAATGTTTGAAACGTCATCTACGAAGCTCTATGAATCAATAACAATATAATCAAGGAATATTACAATAGAAATTTTATGCCTCAATAGTTAGTTATGTTTATTTTGTTACTTTCCATTTTATTCAATGTACAATGGACTGTGATACAATCAGAAAATGGTGTAATATAATTTTTGCGCGGTTCATACAATTTATATGTATATATTTATGTATAAAAAAAGTAATGACTGCTATGCTGAAGCACTTAGGAATCAGAGATTAAAGTACAACCATTTTATCATTTACATATTAAGCCTCATAGTAACTATGTTTATGCTGATATGTGGAAAAAGCTGACGTTTCACTACTCATGTGGAGAGAATCTACAATAATTAATTTCAAATTGGATGACATATTAAATTTTAAACACTCACCGAAGAGTGGATCAACTAAAATCCCCTACAATTCCCTACATCTACAACTCCAAGTTATTTAGTTTGATTTTAATAGAATGAAGTGCTGTCATTGTTAACTATTGTTTTTTTATTACCCTCAAGTTTGAACTTCATACATAAATCAAGTTATTAATAACCATTTCCTGTTACTTTCCTCCCACTAATTTCCTCTCAAAAAACAGGAGGATTTCCCTTTTTACTTAGATTTCGGTTTATTTGAAGTAGTGAACACTTTGAAAGAAAAAAAGTAGCAAGATTTGTTTAAATCAATTTCTGTGTTGTAGTTTTTTTTAACACTAATTTTATTTGAAAATCATGACCTAACACTTATAGTCTTTACAACAGTTTCTAAATTTTTTAAACAACTTAAATGCATTTTATCTCTTGTACTATGAAAAGAGAAGTCTTTAGTCCCTGCTTTTATATTCTGTGATGTTTGTTCAATGTTCAATACTTTACTTTGCACACAGCCTAATTTGAATTTCCAGTAAACAAACAATACTGATGCCGTTTTATCGTTAAAAGACATTCCTTTGCTTTTAATTTGAATTTTAATTGGAAAGAAGTTGTACTCACTTATCAATGTTTCGCTTTCCTTTTTTAAAAACATTTTGTTTTTTTTTGTTTTGAGTTAAATGTTGTTACACTATTCTTCATCTTCCTCTTCTTCAGTATACGTACGTATAAACTTGATTTTTGGTTCATTCCGAAAATTGTTTCTAAACAACCTGTGATACTTCCTGTTAAAAAAAGAAAACAACTGTTAAACACCAAACTGTTAAATATCAGATATGCGGAAAGAAACTGTGTATTTTGTGTATTTATATTTGAGTATAGTTACTTTTTATTATTAAAATCATACATCTGTAAGTTGACGTGAAGTTGAATGATTCCATCCAGTTAACATCTAGGAATTCTTTAGCAGTATGCAGTTACGACCTTGAAAAGAATTCAAAGATATCGTGCGAATAAGTACACGAAAGTGGTTTAGTTTGTTGTGAAATAAACGGCTAATTTCGTTTATACGGGGAATAGAAAGGAGAAAACATATACAAACATGTACATATATAGAGAGGAATTCAGTCCACACAAATTAATATACATATAAAATACAGTTATTTGGTAAGTTATAATTGTCCGAAAATACACAAATATAGACGTAAAGAATTGTAGTGATGAAATAGTCCTCCTTTTCGGGATGTGCAGTTGCTCACTCCACGTAAGAGCATGCCAACGGCCCGATGGTACTGGTTGAGAGAAAAGCAGATTGAAGCAAAGGATTCGAATGTGGATGTACGAATCAGGTACGAGCCAGAAATGATCGGAAATAGTGGAAAGCAAGAAGCTGGCGAGGGAAGGTATGTCGTCCGTATTGAGTGCTGACCCATTTCATGTCCTTATTCAATCTCAAGTCACAACCATGATATGCAGTGAATTCATTATTTTTACTATTTTACAATAAGCGTATAATTTGATATTTTTCGGCCTCCACAAGTTGAAGAAAATAAAAGACCATTCAGTGAGGAAAATTTTAACTATCAGTCATTATTAACATTATTATTGACCTGGGTTTCAAGAGGAATATGACGCTTCAACAGTGCATCTGCATTTCACCCTGTTCCATCAGTCCTTTTTAGTTGGTTCCACGATTTTTCGTAAGCTGTTGTCTCCTCCTCACACAATCCCCTTCATATTACCCTCGGATCCGCGACTCGTTGTTTCCCGTTCAGGTTTCGCTTGACAGCCTGGCCTGGCGTGTGACGTCACTTAACAGTATCCTCAGTGTGTCCAATCCATATTCATTTTCTTCAGCATATTTGTTGGGGTATGGGTTCTTGGTTGGGGTGTTGATGAAGTCACCTTCAAAAGGCTGTAAAATCATATTTGTAGGTAAAAGAAACTTATAGCAGTCCATTATTGAGTGATAGAGACATGAGACAGAGTTGATAAAATTACTCATAAGTTGCTTCTTAAGATGGAAAGAAATTACACAGTCGCCATTGATGTAACAGAAGATAGGATTTGGATTTAATACTGGTGAAAAATGTTATTAGATGAAAAGCAAGGCGGTGAAGTGTCTACTTGACTAATGTGAATAAGATGAGAAGAAACAATGTGGTAAAATGAATGAAAGCTACAAGCAAGAGTGATAACAGTGGATTCGTTACTTAAAACAGCAACGAGCAAATTAAGAAAGAGTTTCTGACCATGACAGAATATGAGATTGTAAAGACTTCTTTCTGTACACAGAGTTAGGGGTTATATTGATGAACCATCAGCGCCTCCACCACACAAAAAATGCCAAAATTTAACACCCTTTTTATCACCTTTTGGTATCACCTTTTGGAAAATCTCAAAAGAAGTCCCTGGTGAAGCTGTGCAGCCTGAGTTTACCGGGTGTTTGAGAATTCAGCTAGCAATTGTTCTGCAATGTTTTCTTGATAAACGAGCTGAATATTGTTTAGAGATAAGTTTTGGAAGCACGTGCTTTGTGCGGCAATCAAGTGCCCTAAAGAGGCAGTTCCTCTATCACTTACCGACAGCCAAAATTTATATGAAGCTCATCGGTAAAGAATGCTTTCTTAGGATATTTGGATAGGCGGTTCTTCAGGATATCAGTCGCCGTATCTCCTTCAAATTCAACATTCGAAAATAACGAATTATTCAGCGCCGTTTGGATTCCTTCAGACCTCTGACTTCCTTTGATGTTATTCTCAAGGATTCTTGCAGGATATCTATTTCCAGTGAGGAACTGTGCAGGTCTGTCTACCTGGTCATCGATTGTATTACTAGTGTGTATCCTTTTATGCCTAAATATAGGAGCTGAATCAAGTTTCCTTTTCTTCTTGGAGGGCTACAACCAAGAAAATATGTGCGCTGACTATTCCATGTTGGTTTCCTGTAGAATGCTATCTGAAGAGAACCGTCAGATCTCCCTTTGATCAAAACATCCGAAAAATGAAATTCAGAGTTCGTGTCTGACTTCAATATGAACTTGCTGGGATAGTGGCAATTTCTGAGGTCCTGCGTTATCATTCCAGTATCAGCATCTTTATCACATATGATCCAGGTATCATACATGTAACTTTATTGGAAATGCAAGGTTTTAGTAGTTAGTAACATATAATTTACTGGACATGTCATGAAGCAGAAAACGAGTAGAGGAACTACTGGAAACTCCACTGACATTCCGTCATTTTATCTATACATTGTATCACTGAACTTCTACTGGATATTAAAAACGCTTCTCAGTAGCAGTTGTTTCAAGTAGTGGATTGGCTTATCGAAGTCAAAATTATTATCTTCGATAAATTTGCATCAGTGAGACTGACACTACTGATGAGAGAGGTGACATTCAGAGATATCATTCTTTTTCGGAATACGTTGATCTGACTTATTAAATTAAGGAATCCAAATGAATCCGACATGCTACGCTAATTCAGACTATGCCTGATAGGTAAAGGAATATTTGCGAGTTAATTAGCAGTGGCTTGATATGGAGTATTGTTAATATCTATGATTAGGCGCAGTGGAATCTTTACTTTTTGAACTATAAGGAGATCACATAAACAGAGAATTATAGAACCCCAGGGGCATACTTGCTCAAATTATTCGGAGGTGGTGATCTATTCATTGTTTATCTTCCTAATGATTTTAATACTTTCTTTGTAGCATCTGAAGTTACGTAAACAGTAAAGATAAGTTTCTGTTTAGTATAGAAAGTGTTAGCCTGATACATAAATATAAGCTTGTACTAAAATAGATGATAATAATTATAGTTTCCGAAGACAGAATAACCTGCCAAATGTAGTTCTAAATTGAATCACTATCAAATCCAATAGTTCTATGAGGACCAGATTTGCAGTATAAAATGATATCGTTCTATTTCACAGGTTCTCATCAGCTGCAAACTACCTGAAATTACAATGGTTCTAAATAATAACACTTCATACTTCATTGTTTGAAAGGTAATAGAGAAAACATTATAAGGTGAACGCATCTGGAATATAAGTATTATAATCTAAGTCACCATCAATTTATATACTATCAAACTATGAAAGAAGAAAAAAGGGGGGGTGAGAGAAGACAGAAAACAGAAAAATCTAATAAACAGTGTCAGCATAGCAACTCAAGAAGGTCAAGGTTCATCAATTTGAAAACTTGCTTAGTGAGCTGAGCTCACTAGTGTGTATGACTAATCAGTGTAATGAAAGTGATATGGTTACCAAGGGAGTGAGAGATTGACCACACTCTCTTTCTGTATGCATAAGTTTGGTCTGTGACGTTTGATTGCAATTGCTTCAGCAAATCGTAGTAGATTCGCTGTCCTTTGTATGTTTAATATTTTGAAGGATTTAGAAATCTCGACAAAATGACCCGTATCCACAAGGTGTCTGGTAATTGAACTTTGTAAATATCTGCTTCCTTTTAGGCATAAGTTTCTTGGAATATGCTCTGAAAACCGGATAGAAGCCCTTCTTTCTGTCCCTCCAATGTACTTGCTGCCACAGGTACACGTAAATTTATAAATGCAGTTGGAGGTAACATCAGCAGGGTACTTATCCAGTTTCGATTGCCTTATGGAGCACGTAGTACTGTATTGTGTCACCAAACTGGCTGCAGGGAAGCATCTCTTTATTGCTCCCTTCATCCTCTTTTCAATCTTTTGCGATACGGTTTCTCCTTTGTATGGGAGGCAAATGAACACTTTCTTCTTCTCAACTGATGGAGATTTCTCCTTCTCATCTCTTTCTTTGCTGTACTTTAGGATAAATCTTTTTGGATTCCCGTTTTCTTTAAGGCATTTTTCGACAAAGCTTAATTCTTCTTCCACTTTGTTAGGCGAACATAACTTTCTGGCCCTGTCGTAAAGTGCTCTCACTAATTCCCGCTTGTAGCTCATAGGGCAGAAGCTGTTATAATGAAGGTATTGTCCGGTCCAAGTTTCTTTCCTGTAGATGGACTTTTCGACCGTTCCATCGTTTCTTCTTTTTACATTTAGGTCCAAGAAATTAAACTCATCGTTGTGTTCGTATTCCATGGTGAATTGAATGTTTGGGTGGACCTCATTTAGGCGGTCAAATATTACGGATGCATGACTCATGTCGTTACAAACAACAAAAGTATCATCGACGTATCGGCGGTAGTATGTTGTTCCATTAATAGCGTCACTCAGTCTTGTCTGTTCGAGGTAGCCCATGAATATGTCTGCTAGAATGGGTCCTAGGGTGAACCCATGGCGACCCCGTCAATTTATAAATTTACGTGTACCTGTGGCAGCAAGTACATTGGAGGGACAGAAAGAAGGGCTTCTATCCGGTTTTCAGAGCATATTCCAAGAAACTTATGCCTAAAAGGAAGCAGATATTTACAAAGTTCAATTACCAGACACCTTGTGGATACGGGTCATTTTGTCGAGATTTCTAAATCCTTCAAAATATTAAACATACAAAGGACAGCGAATCTACTACGATTTGCTGAAGCAATTGCAATCAAACGTCACAGACCAAACTTATGCATACAGAAAGAGAGTGTGGTCAATCTCTCACTCCCTTGGTAACCATATCACTTTCATTACACTGATTAGTCATACACACTAGTGAGCTCAGCTCACTAAGCAAGTTTTCAAATTGATGAACCTTGACCTTCTTGAGTTGCTATGCTGACACTGTTTATTAGATTTTTCTGTTTTCTGTCTTCTCTCACCCCCCCTTTTTTCTTCTTTCATAGTTTGATAGTATATAAATTGATGGTGACTTAGATTATAATACTTATATTCCAGATGCGTTCACCTTATAATGTTTTCTCTATTACCTTTCAAACAATGAAGTATGAAGTGTTATTATTTAGAACCATTGTAATTTCAGGTAGTTTGCAGCTG